CTGGGTGTATCACCGGACCCTGACTTCTGGACTCAGATATGCAAAAATACATTTAAGATGACAAGACACACTAATATACAACTTATCCAATTTAAAGTACTCCACAGAACACACATCACCCAACAAAAGATGAATAGAATGGGCTTTAGTCAATCTGACACATGCACTCAGTGTACTCAGAACACTGCAGACACCTACTTTCATGCACTCTGGTTATGTTCACCCGTCCAGCACTTCTGGTCTACAGTCACCCAAAAACTCTCCTCCATTTTGGACTGCAGGATCCCATTATCTCCCAACCTGTGCTTAATTGGTGACCTGATGACAATTGACCTCCCAAACAGCCACTGCAGCTCTCTTCTTGTAGCTCTCGCCATCGCCAAGAAAACATTCCTAGTCATCTGGAAAGATAAACAGACCCTCAACATCAACCATTGGCTGAATCTCCTTGTAGAACATATTTCTCTGGAGAAAATATCTGCTGGCCACAGAAACCAATTAACATACTTTACAGAAAAATGGTCACCATTTATTCACTCACTCATTTATTCATAAATGGACGAATATGCCCTGACCCAGCGTTCATACCAATTTGCCGCTTGCTCCACCTGTCTGTCTGTCTATCTGTCTGTCTGTCAGCTCCATCTGTCATGAGACAAACATGAAAGAAGACGTGCAGTTTATTGTGTTTTTCCGGTGACGAGCTGTCATTATTTGTGACTATTACGCACGTCTGCGTGCTCTTTATAACTCACTGTGTGAACCTATGTTGCATAATAAAGATTTGTCCCCTCGTAATTTTTAACTGCCCCCTAAGTAACTTCATCCTGGCGCCGGGCTTGCCTTAACCTCAATCACTGCTATATAAAGGTAGAAAAATAAATAAATACAGAGGAGGAGAATAGAATATGAAACAGCCTTTATTTCATTAAAAACTAAATGAAAACAACGAAATAGGAGCACTATTCCTGACCAGTGCGTCAAAAGACATGCAGGCCAGGGAAATGAAACAAACAACCCCATGAATGTCTTTATTAATAGCCTATAAAATGATGTGTTTTCTCCTGCGGGACGGGAGAAGACACAAAATCAATGCATCTCTATTATTGTGCAACATAAATTCTCAGAGTTTTGCGGTTGGGGGCGGTAATGTTCAGAAATTCAGCGTTCTGGTTACTTTTCAGTAACTGCGCAGCTGCGCTTGTTTTGTTGTTGGGTGTGTGTGTGTGTGTGTGTGTGTGTGTGTGTGTGTGTGGCTCTGCACATCAGTCTGATATGAGTGCTGACTTGTGATGATAATGAATATGATGTTGATTTAGATTCAAGGCAGCAAGATGAGTTTTGGTTGTGGTTGTGGACTGGATGTACTTTGTTGTTTGCTATAGTTTCATCTGTGCGTTTATGTGTAAATAGGCTTGGCCTGTTGGGTGTGTTAGAGTGGGATCAGAGGGGTTAATCTGAGCAAGAATGTGTTCGTGTTCATGCGTGTACTGTAGATGTGACTGTGTGGTGTCGGAATAAAAAAAGTGCTCCGCAACGTTATTTAATACATCAGTAATATTGTCTGTTTCAATGCATATGCCCCCCTCCCCCTCCGCGTGACTTGAAATTATGCCCCCCCCCCCCCGGTTCAGATGCGTTCTGCGGTCCATGTCTACAGGCAGCCTCCAGGTGGAGCTGCAACACACTGAAGGAACAAATCTATTGTTCAAAAACTTTCTCCAGTTTGGTCCTGTCAGATACAGAACTCTACAGAGCCCAGGAGGGGACATGGACAAAAGTTTTTATAAAGTATGCAAGTTTTATGAGTCACACATACACTTTAGTAAAGCTTTACATTACTGTTCAGGAAGAGTCAGCTCAAAATGTATTGTGACACATTCATAATTTCAAAACTACATCTATGATGTAATAAACATTAATGTCATATTCAGCTTACTGTTGTTCACGTCCATTTTTAAACACAAGAGGCTGATGCTTTGACCGGTCACTCTTGAAGGACACACAGCTGGGTGCAGGTGAGTCTGGTCTGGAAGACAAACCACCAAAGAAGAATGTTTTTATCCTCCAGCCACAGTAGAGAAAGAGCATGAGGGTTTGATAGTCAGCGGTGAGTGACATAGGTAACAGCAGAAAGAGTAAAGGAGAAATGGCAGGGAAAAACAACTCAGTATTTGAGGGATTTTCCAAAAGAGGAACGGTAAGAGTAGTACAATTTATCATACTGCTGAGATCACTGGACTCTTGAGTTGATTTGTTAATCTGTGTGTTCTGGAGAAACTACCAGCTATCAACAAGAAATGTATTTCAATCAGTGCGTTCAGACTTGATGCGTCAAACACCTTTTGTACAAGAGGAGTTAAAAATGAACTTTTCAGTCTTCAGTCACCAGCAGCAAGAAGTTTAATAAACTAAACAATAAAAGGTCTTCACACTGAATTACTGCAGTCTGTGTATCACTGGTTCATTTTCTGTAAAAGACTGAACAAAGTCAGGGCTAAACAAATCAACAGATGACGGACCAAACCACGGCTAGAAAAAGGTGAATATTGGGTCGAACCAGGACTAAAACTCAGCATATGAACTCTTGAGTAATGTCCAACATCATGTTTTGTGAGGTCACAGTGACCTTTGACCTCCAAATTCTAATCAGGTCATCTTTGAGTCCAAGTGGACGTTTGTGCCAAATCTGAAGAAATTCCCTGACAGTGTTTCTGTGATGTCATGTTCACGGGAATGAGACGTACAGACGGAAGGACAACCCAGAGACGTGATGTCTCCGGCCACAGCTGTTGACGGAGTGGAGGCATTAAAAACAGAGAATATTGGATCAAACACCAGAGAAGAAGAAGAAGAAGAAGAAGAAGAAGAAGAGCGATGCTAAAAATAAACATAGCGTTTAAAAAGAACTTCT